GCCCAAGACGGACGTAACAACCCACAAGGACTGACATGGAGGATGGTAAAACTCCGCAAGGACCGACCTACAATCACCATAACCCTTGTCCAGTATGGAGAACTGGACATATCCTCATACTCCCATACATTATACATCTGAAAAATCTGGACAGCGGAAAAATTGAAACTTTTGCTCACCTGGACATACAATAAGAAGAAAAATCGCGATGTCCCTCTCCTCCACCGACCTCAAAAATCATGGCGACCCAGATCAAAATACCCGTCCAACTAACAGAGGAAATTAGAAGCCATTACCCCGCGAAAAACCGAAGGTGAAACCAGTCGTCAAGCGGCTTTGCCAGTTCAACATTAATGTACAAAATGCTTTACGGCAGTGTTGCAGGACGTGGTGGGTTTTCGCCTGGCAAGCGTTCTCCCTATAAAAAGCCACAAATGTCTGTTTAACAACACTGCGACGTGGCGGATGTGACTCGCCACTGAATAAAGTCACAGCCCACAACTACATACTGGCAAGTCGACCAGATTCACATATCAACTCTTCTTGACACCGTTTCAACTACACACGATTGAACCCGGAGTATCATCGTGATACACAACAGTTTTTAAACCTTGATCATGCCTAAGTTGGTGCGTCGCTATGAAACTGAGAATAAACTATCTATTTATTTATTTTATCATGGACATACAACCAATTTTCTACTATTACTGTCACAGTTGCCATAAAATGTTTGCACAGTTGTACATATCTGATCATGCCTCCATGGGCGTGCCTCGCATAGTCGAGAATAAAGTATTTATTTATTGCTAATTGATCTGACTGAACCACAATTTTTAGGATTCTAGGGCCGCATCGTCTATAATTTGGTGAGAGAGGTATTCTGGTGAGCGATAGCGCCACAATATTATCAAAGGAAAGTGCTTCACGAAGAAACCGCCACTGTTCAAAATCATGCTTTCCGACCGCTTGAACATCGTTAGAAGGATCCTCTGTCACAGCATGCATGAAAAATGTGTTTAGGCGGGCTTGCTTGTTGTGTCTCTCTTCGGGACATCAGGATACATGCGTAGCACAAAGGATCCGCGTGTCAGCGCGGTTGCGGAGAGTAAAAGGTTTTCTACATCGGTGGAGGATTCTAGGGTTACTCGAATAAGTCTGGGTTCCACATAGTGTGCAAAGTTCGGATGACGAATAATCCGTATTAGGATTATGGGTTAGGCTTTGACACTTACCAACACGCACAATGAATTCCACTGGTCTTGGTAGTTCGATAAGTTACCAAGCAACGTGATGGCGGTAGACTCGGGGACAGTTGAACACACAACAGTTAGGGCACTATTGTTGGATCCCTTTTTCTTTGATCTACAAGATAGGGTAATCCTTTGTTCTGACCTGCTGGCAAGTGTTGATTGTTTAATGCTTGTCTCTCTGTTCGCGTTAATGGTGTTTATAACAGCAGACGCCGCAACGGCGGACCTTTGCAGTAATCTCTGCATACGTAACTGATGTCCCGGGGAACGTTGTCTCGACAAGTGACATTTGAGCTACAGGTACCGAAGGTTGGTGTTCGGCTGCTTCATCCTTGTTAATGACAGAAATAAGGGGTAGTGGAAGTTGCCTAACCAGACGTTTTGAGTGGTGCCTGATTTTCGTTGCCATGAGAACTGTTTGACTCTCGTATGTACGGCCAGTTTTCGCCAGGCGTTCTGACAAATTTAGAGAAGACAAGGAGGATGGGGACGTGGCTGATTGTGGTGCAGGGGAATCAGATTGAGCAGCATTCCGTTGCTTAGAGGCTGTTAAACTTCCGTGGTTCATACTCGCTTCCATTAAAGTAAGCTTATCGTTTATCCTGTGCTCCGCCGCTGCGGTTAACTGCTCGCAATTCTAAACTAGGATAGGCAAGCACTTAACGAGCGGGATGGTCGAGCACGCAGTACAGAACCAAAGTGCATCTTGGGAGCTATTTCGATCTCGTACCTGTTATTAGGAAAGGTTTGCACATTTCGTATGATACCATTCCAAACAATGCGAGCAAGCCAAACCTATTTTAACTAACCGGGGACATTCTCCTAACCCACAAATGCCTTTCGCTTGCAGCCTTTTCGGATTCGCATTGCTGTCATTCAAGGTGGTGTCGTTACCTGATCCAGTGGGTTGGTTGGCGTTCTGTACTCTTCCAGCTTGGAGAGCGGCGTACATCGGTCAGGCGAGCGATGTAGGTACAAGGTCAAATGAGTGGTCGGCGTAATCCGTGTGATAGGTTATGCAGGCGCACTGGCTGACAAGTTCATAAGGAATGGCGAGTGACCGGGACCTGATAACTGAATCTGAACACAGAGCTGAACACAGATTGAGAGGGCACAAATGCTTTCACAGCTGCGTTGCGAAACGCAAGATTGGAATAAGCTTAGGCTTTTCGGATTGCCTCAAGAATTCTGTATCAAATGGTGTCACACAGAAAGGCAAGCACCTCAGTGTGATTGAGTTACACGTTTGCCCTTAATCATGGATGCCTGTGAAAACGGTTAGTGATGGCACAGACTCTAATCGTAGAAGATATTTCCACGTATGATGGATCAATGCGTAGGGCTGGTAAATCCGGTTGGAACGAACGTATAGTGACAACGCCGCGATGGAGAGAGGAATAATCCAAATGACCAAGGAGCACGAGCGTCACGCGTGCGTGTAAATGACCTTGGCGGAAGAACAGGTCGTTGTCTGGGTAAGCGCATGAGAGTATGTTCCGAAGCAGATTGCTAAGATGGCGGTGCGACAAGCAACCGGAAAAGAAGCAGCAGGCAAACTGCCGGGGTCGTCCATTGGCAAACACTTAATCGGTACTGGTCATCAAGTTGAGCCTGCTTAAACGTTCATGGTTGTTTACCGAAACGAAAACGCCAGAGTGACGAAGTTTTCCGAGACCGTCCTAATCTTTGTGTACAGAAGCAGCTGAGAATAGCTGTAAAGATTTCCTGGGGCTAATGATCTTAGCCAAATAGTAGTCATCTGCTGAGTTGCGTCCGTGTACTTTCGCTTCTGACCTAGTTCAAATCGATCATTTTTCTCTCAGATGAGTCATATATTTTGTTAGTTTGCAAGCGGTCAGCCCCAATAGGACGAAACGGCCGTCTAACGCCTTCCTGGATGTACGATGGCTGCCTAGCTGCGATGAATGTTCTCAAAAAGGATTAGTTGCCCGCCAGCAACACTGCGCGCCACGACTGGTTTCCCAGTTTTACTTGCAACAGTCAGGTAGGCATAGCAGGAAGCGACTTGTACTTGGGACACAAAGACTGTAAGTCAAGACCTTTCCTCATACATCACCAAGCCACGGTTGATTCATTGTTGGGTTGTACGAAATTCAGGCTAAACAGGTAATTCGTTCACTCCAAAAGAGACGATTTACCATTTCGTGTTAACGGTCGAAGTGAGCATTTCGGTCATAGGTAAGACCACCGCCACAGGAACGACCGGTGTTATTAAATAAAGTGAGAGACTAGCAAACGAGTATTTTCACATGAAGTATGCTTTAAAAGCGAATAGTATTTAGGATGCCTTGATTTATCGTGAGAGCATAACATTTAAAACGATTCGACTAGCACCGGAAACCCCAAACGAGTACAAATAGTTCAAGACGCACCAAGCAAATATAAAGCTGGCAAGTCGTGGAGCGGTGGGAAAGAAGACGGTGTGCAGGCTGCGGCCGACAGCAGACTTAGCAAGTGCATGAATCACAAAGGTTATGAGTTCTGTTTAGAATAGGTAGTCCGAAAGGGATGACTCTGAGGCACCAAGAAGAGAATGCAATTCGCATAGTAATCCGACCCTGGAAACAACTTGTCATCGTCTATGTAAGCTATACCGATGACTCAAACAAGGCGACCGCGCTGAGCATCTAAGTCTCACTGGCATGTGTTCGCAGATGGCAAAAAAGCCTGCGGCCAGTAGACCTCTGAGCCGGTTGGAAGGAATCACACTGTTGAGCCACATAGGAGCGGGCGCCCACGCTTTAAATCAATCCCACACGCGATCGGTGGTGATCGCGAGGTATTGGTGCGGCGCACCGGCGTACTGTTGATGCATTTCTATTTCTACATCGGAGCCAGCTTGGGTGTATGGCATACAGCAAAAGGAAGTCTAGTACCAATTGGCAAGGAGAGACGGTGGAAGACGGAGAATAATTTGTTGCAATCCGACTTGCGTAGTCGTTCAAATCAATCGCAGACGTGTTCATTCTCTGGTTCAAAATGCAATCCCAAGGTGGACGCAGGAACCGGAAACTGTGTCTCGTTACTGCTATTAAGCACTAGTCTCGCGTGGTATTCAAGATGGCGTATAATCCAGGTCGAGGTGAACAGCTGCCCATAATTGTCATTTGCTGGGAACATTCAATAGGTTGTGAGACTTAGCATCGTCAATTGTCGCATAACTTGAAGTGAAACTGAATATGCTTAATATTCCGTTAGAAATAGTAAACACAGTACTTAAAGTTCAGTTGCTATTTTGAAAATAGCCTTTCCCTCTAGCTAATAGAGAAAGTGATTTTCACCTGCTTGGACACCTAAAAGAACTGTGCTCAGTGATAATTCTATGGTGATGATGACGTGAAACAGGACGACTAAAACCGGCTCAGATGTTGTGATAAAATTTCCATAATAGAGCATTCCAAGCATTAGTGTAACACTGAGGTGAGTAACTATTACAGGGGAATAAAGTGTGAGACAAATGCAGTTGTCGTAACCTTGAATTTGTGAATATTTTTCAACAAGTTTCCAGACTGAAATGCATGCTCTCCGTAAATTGTTGTGACAGCCACACGACCGACAATTCCAGTGAAACAGAGCAACATGGGTTCTTCTTAGACCTGCAATCCTAAGAGAATAAGGTGGCACTGATCTGAAAGCCTTCGGACCATAAAAACCAAATCGACCAGTATATTGGGAAAGCGCGAAGTCGAACACCCAAACAAGTGCCACCACAAGACAAGAGTGTGTCAGTTAAGAAATACACTTCATGATCATTTTTGGATACAATTTTAGTGCGTTCTCTGTAGTGACCCGCCGAACAGTGTCTACATCTGTTCCTTTCGCGTCGGCGATAAACTGACACGACTTCAGAATCTCCGCGGGCTCGTTACGGTCCTGTGTTGGAATGAGAAAAGTGAACAAAATGCGGTCACAATGCAAGCTCAAACGTATAACGTACATTAGAAAGATGTGGATTATAAGCCGAACCTGTTCACGAACGGTTACCGAAGTGCAGCGGTTGTAATAAACACCAAAGATCGAAGTGAAACGGTAGGTAGACTGCTCCATGAAGACTCGCTACTCTAGGACATATATGCACGTCAACGACTCAGGTTTCAGCGAGGGATTAAGAAAAGAGAGAGAGAGAGAGTATGAAAACGGTTTTGAGCTTGATGAGGACAATCGACCAAAACACGGAAAATGAACAGAAGCGTGATCCAATGTCTCAACTGAAGAGACATGGAACCATAGCCACCAACAGCCACAGTTTCCATCAGTTACAAAAAGCCCTGAGGGGCTGAAAATCTGAACTTGAACAAACTGGGAGTTAAAAGGAAAATGTGGTCACTCAGATCCCTATACACTGGCCATGAGGTAGATTGGAAAAGCGCTTTCCGAATAGTTTACAATGTTCCGACGCACAGAACGAAAGGTTACCGCCTTCGTACACTTGTAACAACTGAAGCAATATACATTCGATTGTTCCAGCCGTCCTTATGCTCAAAGAAGAAGCTGGTCAAGCCTCTCAAACTTCCCTGGCAAGCAAAAACGTCCAGGTCGACTGCCTTCGGTCAGACGCGGTAGCAAACAACTAGGCCACTAAGACCTAATGCGTTTTCTCATCTCTGACATAGACCTTCAGGTGACCTAATCGTTTGGAACCAATTGGATCGATTTTTATTTGCAGCCTCTGTCCGGCAAAAAACAAGAATTGTCTAGGAAATCCACTATTTTAGCGATTAATCGATTATTAACGAGTATCGCATCGATTTCGAACGTTCCGGAATGTTCTAGTCTCTGCACGTGACTAAAAACCATCTGACACCTCGGCAAAAGATATGAGGAACTCCTAACCTTCCAATTATAGAAGTCGAAGGTCAATAAGAGACCTATAAATACAGCCAAGGTCCACAGTAGTTGTACAGTGTTTGTTGGCGGCGATTAATACGTTATGTTGTCAAGGCCATTGGCGTTCTGCTTTTTCCTTCGGTTGGGCTAGATATTTTGTGGTGCAGTAAAGTGGCAATTTCGGAATCGCGTCTAGTGAGAAGATTATAACAAATGGCGAGGGATAAAATTGGAAATGTGATGAATTTTTTTGCTGAACAATTTCAAAAGCTGCTTTTCCAACAGCAAGCTCAAATGGAGGCACAAACGAAAATGATCGAAAATCTGACACAATGCTTGAGTTTGCAGACAACAGGAGCAGCGATGCGGGACATGCAGGCGAGTTCTGTTTATCTTCTCATGAATGCAATCACAGAATACAATTATGACGCGAATACTGGATGCACCTTCGAAGCGTGGTTGAAACGCTGGGAAAACATGTTTCAGACGGACTTCATTCGTCAGGACGACTCCTGTAAGGTGCGATTGCCACTCCGCAAGCTCGGAATAAGTGAACATTCAAAGTTCATAGACCATATTCTGCCCAAACAGCCGAAGGACCTGACGTTTGACGAAATAGTGTCGTAGCTGAAGGAAATTCTTGGTGAGTCGGTAGCCTTGTTTAGTATTCGCTATCAATGCCTGAAAATTCTCAAACAGAAATCGGACGAGTTTGCGGCCCTAGCAGACATGATTAATCGTAAGTGTAAACGTTTTAAACTACGCTCTTTAACGGACGATCAGTTTAAGTGTCTCATTTTTGTCAGCGCTCTACAATCGCCCAGTGATGCTGAGATCCGAACGCGGCTTTTAACTAAGCTGGATCAGGATCCTGATCTGACACTGAAGACCCTCGTAAGCGAATGCAAACGGCTGCTCACTCTAAAACACGACACTTGCATGGTCGAAAGGAATGGTCTCGCACCACCAGTTACCGTGCAAATCGCGAAAAAGGCCAGGACCGTCAACCGAAGCAAACCCTTCAAGAGGTCTACGAATAAACCGCCCACAGCATGCTGGTCATGCGGCGAATGGCATTTCGTGCGCTTTTGTTTCTTCAAACCTCATATTTGTCAAACGTGCCATAAGCGTGGGGATAGAGAGGAATGCTGCAGTCATGTCCGGTCGAAGAAAGGGAAGTCTTATGGAAAAGGAAATTCTAGAAAGGATGGCGCCGAGTCTCTGTCCATAGTTGCCGCCTTTCAAAGCGAGTGTATACCGAGGCGACGATTTATCAGTGTGTTGATCAATGAGATCCCAACGAAATTGCAATTTGACATGGCCTCGGACATCACGATTACTTCCAGGAGCACATGGAATCACATAAAGAGGCCGAAGATGGTCGAGTCTCAGAAAGTTGCACATAATGCATCCGGTGGTGCGTTAAACTTCGTGGGCGAAGTTACTTGCAAAATTGCTTTCCAAGGTGTGGAAAAGTCGGGAACATGCTACATTTCAGACCGACCGAATTCGAATCTGCTTGGTCTCGACTGGATTGAAAAGTTGCAACTCCTCAAAGTTCCCTTGAATCAGATCTGCAACCGAGTTCGAGCAAGTCCAGACCCATCATCAAAGTCCGTCGAAGACATCACACGTACCCTGAAGCGAAAAGTTGGCTGTCTTTCAGGATGGCTTGGGCCATTGTACGAAATTCAAGGCAACGTTGAGCCTGCGATCAGGTGTTATCATTAGATCGTCAATGTCCACTACTTTGCACATGGTACTGGCAAACTCCAGTAAATGGCCAAAAGTTGTTGGTGTCAAGTGGATGGCACATGTTGAACATAAAAGTGTATAAGAGGAGCTAGTTTTTGAGGAATCTTAAATCGCTCACCATGGAGTTGCACATCGTCATTCCTTGACTGATCTGTTTGCGAGAATGGTTAGCTCCCGAACCGATATTTTGTCAACCGGCGGACACTGGGATGAGCAACACTAAAAGCAGATTCCTAACCGGCATATCCTTGGTTAGCCGCATCATTTGCCTATATAGGAGCAAACTAACTTGCCCATATTCCGGAATATATAGCGATGTACTACCACTAGATAGAGTCTGTAATTGTGACGGAGTAGTAAGAAGCTGCGAAGTATTTCTAATCGCCGATATAGCTTTAGGGGAGCTCGGGTGATCTCTTGACGCTGAGAGCATGCATGTAGTAATTTACATGTCCAGTTTAACGGAATTTGCTTAGGTAAAAAGAATTACACCACCCCTTTTAAATCAACCGCTCCTAAGCAACAAAACCAGGTAAATTAATCTCAGAATCAGCTATTTCAAGACGTAACCAGGTATCTGTAATCATACTGAGATCCCGCGGATAGGAGACATGGCGTTCTCTAAGTCCGGCCAATTTACTAAGAAGGCCTTGGGCGTTAGCTTAAAAACAGTATAGTCTTTTGCATGTTATGAGTATGTTGGTGGACGTCAAATTAGGGTTTTGCTTTAAGCCGACCGTTTGGCGGTCTGCCGATAATCTTGTTATGGGTGAGACTGCATGGTAGCACAGAGTGCTCCAGATGGCGATATTCTAACGTGCGTCGCTCTATCCTGTCGGGTGTCGCGGGTGCTATGGTGTCTATCTCTCTACATGACGGTAGAGGCAAAGGTTTTGCTGAGGATGCATGTTCCAGTGAATTGCTAACTATTTGTGGTCCTGCCATTCCTTCGAAGTGTAGAGTCACCTGCAATATTTTTGAACCACAACCCTTGTAGTTTGGTGATGAAGGAATTCTCGCCAACGATGAAGCGACAACGTTGTCTAGAGATAGTGCTTCGAGAATATAGTATCACCGCTCTTAGTCATGTGTTTAACCTTCGGAATCCGGAGAATGCGGTAATTTAGGAACCCAATAAAGAAATATGGTTTGTTCGCCATTGTTTCTAGGAGGGTCACTTTGGTTGTCTTTGCCTTCGAGCACCCATTCCAAGGAACACCGGGTAGCATGCGTACTCCGTTCGATGAGCTAGAAAAACGAACTACTGAGAATAGGACGGTCTCTCTCCTCTGCTGAGTTCAATGTTACTCGAAGACATCGAGGTTCATTGCAGTGCAGTGAAGTTGGGTGATGCGCTATGCATCTCAGTATAGTGGGCTCAAGCAGAATACCGAATGCATCGAGGATGTAATCTTAATGGTTAGGATCAGCCTCAAATTCCCTGAACGGAGCAAGATTTTGACTTGGGAATCATCATCATAATTATACACATCAGTTAGAGGTGGGAAACAACTCAGCTATTGTACCGCAATATATAAAGGAAAAGGAAAAAATACAACAGTTGCATGCCAGCTGAGCTACCATCAACGGAAAGGCATCGTTCCGGAAAGATAACAGCCGGCTACGAGGCAAAAAGAAAAATTATTATGTTTCACGCTATGAAATGAGATCGTAGGTGGAGGGATAGGCTAAAAAGGATGGGGAGGGACAAAGAAACTCACAGCAGAAATGCCACTGAGGTCGGCTCCCTGACATGTCAGCAAATCCATCCAGCCAAAGGTGTTCATCGTCTTTTGGACCCCAACCAGGGAGCCGTGAAGCTCCAACCGAGGCCAGCTCAAAAGTGAGGGCCTTCATTCACCTGAACCAAGTCATCGCTTGGCCACCTCTCCTCTTCTTCCATCCACACCACCGGTGAGCAAACAACACACGTCGCGGAAGTCGGTGGGCTGGCATGCGTAACACGTGGTCGAGCCATCGGAGCCTGATGCGTGAAATAACGGTGCTGAGCGGTTCATTTCCTTTTCCTGTGCCATAAACAAGGCGTCGAACACGCTCGTTGCTCACGCGGTGTTCCCACCAGATGTGAGCCAAACTGCGAAGGCACCGATGGTCGAACATAACTAGCTTCTTCAGGTCCGCTCATCTTACGGGCCAGGTTTCGTAACCGTAAAATATGGTCGAACGTACCGCTGCACTGCACACTCTACCTTTCAGGGCGAGAGTGATGTCGCACCGCCGCCATAGGTGGCGAAGGTTAGCAAAAGCACTTCGAGCTTTTGCTACACGGTTCGTGATCTCGTCTTCGATACCAAGGGCGCAGATACAACTTCCCATGTGATTGGATTTTGGGACGACTTATAGCTGATCCCCACCAGAGGTCAGCATAGGAGGCGATCCAGACCAATCTTGGAGGAACGCTTTGCACTTCCAGGGTGCGAACCAAAACCCGAAGTGACGGACAGCCAGTGTTACTCTGTTCAGTACCGCTTGACACGTTTGTGAGCTGTCACAGATGAGAGCAATGTCGTCTGCATAATCCAAGTCAAGAAGTCGTTCTCCTGGGAGCAGATCCACACCTTCCAAGTCATGTCCTATGAACGCGATTTCCATGACTTCATCAATAGCGAAGTTGAAGAGGAAAGGTGACAGCGGGCATCCTTGTCTCACGCCGCTGGAGATATTAAAGAGCGACGACAGCTTGCCGTAAGCCCTCACTCCGCCCGAGCTACGCGCATATAATGCTCGGATAATATTCACATATTTCTCAGACACACCTTTCCTGAGTAGACAGTCCCAAAGTGCATGTCTATCCACCGAATCGAATGCACCTTTGATATCGAGGAACACGACAACGGTGGGCCGCCAATATGTGTGACGGTACTCCAACAACTGACGCAAGGTGAAGATGTGATCGATGCAGCCACGACCTCGACGAAACCCGGCTTGCTCCTCACGAATCTGGCTTTCACGAATGCCAGTCAGTCTGTGAAGGATGAAGGAGGCAAGCAACTTGGAGGCGATAGAGATCAGACTGATTGCTCTATGGCTGCCGCATTCCGATCGTGAGCCTCGATTGAAGATGGGGACAATAACGAAGCGGCTCCAATCGGTTGGGACAGTCTCCTGCTTCCACAGTTTCACTAGTAATTCATGTAAAGCATAAACAAGAACAGAGCCTCCGAATTTGAAGAGGGCTGGAGGAAAATCATCTGGTACCGCGACTTTATTTAACTACAACAGTCCGATTTCACGTTCGACTTCTGACCGAGAGCGTGGCTCCAAACGAACAGCCCACGGAGCGGGGCGATCAGTGACCGGCGAGAAATCTAACAATGCCGACCGATTAAATTGCATTTAGAAATGCTCAGCCCAACGCTCCAAACCTCTTGACAAATTGTGGTTAGGCTGTCCACTCTCGTCACGTATAGTTTCACTAACACCAGGTCTCCTGTAGCCCGTTTCCCGTATCAGACGGAATAACTTGCGACGTTTGCAAAGGGCAGCGGCCACTTCCATCTCTGACGCACAATGAGACCACCAAGATTCGCGGTCTCCCTTCAGGCCAGCACGGAGTCTTGCCCTAAGCTCTTTGCGAGTTTCATTGTGTTCGCTTCCAGCCGGGATATGCCGGCGAGCGTCGATAAGTTCCATAGACCGTGAAGAGACCAAATGTCCATGTTGGCTATCAGACGTTCCCCATGAGGAGTTGCCTGCTGCTACTAATGTCTGGCGAACATGTGACTAGTGACCATCAATTGTCTCCAGTGAGCGATTACTCAACTCGCATGACAGCGTACTTCGATACGCATCCAGAACAGCTGGCTTTGGCAGTTGGCTGGTGTCAATGCACTCACAATGTCGTCTTGGGCGTCCGCCAAAGCGCATCCGCAGGTCAGCACATACAAGTGCATGATCGGTGTCCACACCTGTGCTCCAAATCGAGCGACAGTTCTGGACGCAGCCTCTCCATCAGTAACTTATCGCAATGTGATCGATCTGCGCTCAAGACTGTTTCGAGGCTGGTGGGCGCCAAGTCAACCTCCGGCGGGCGCTGTGTCTGAAATTAGTGCTCGCAAGAAATAAGCGGGCATCTTCACACAAATGAAGTAACCGCTCACCGTTATCATTACGGGAGCCTACACCATGCTGACCGCCCAGATGCATTTCATCAGTGGACAACTTTCCAACTTGTGCGTTCAGATCCCCAGCCAGCACAACAGTGTCCGTGCTTCCTCTGTGGCGAACAAGCTGGGTCAGTTGGCGGTAGAAGTCGTTCTTTACCGAATCATCGCTACAGTTTGTGGGCGCGTAGGCAGCGATGATGAATGAAAACCTATTAGTCCTACGCGACTTCGAAGCTTTAAACGAGCCAGCCAATCGGACCGCACACATCCGGCTACTGATTGGAATCCAATCAACCAGAGGAGTTTCAGCCCGGGGACTCAGGGCAATACCAACACCAGCTTGGCCGGTGCTCGAAGCTGCATCGTCACCGGATAGGCGCAATGAGAAAATACTGCTTGCGTCACCTGAAGGGGATCGCAGAGTGAACACAGAGCTCGAGTCTTGCAGGCGGGTCTCTGATAAGCAGCAGATATTGATCGAGAGGGTCTCGAATGTTCGGGCAAGTGCTGCCTGTTGACCGATCTGAAGCAATGTGCGAACATTGAGGCATGTCAATCTGAAGGAGGATAGAGGGCTCCAAATGGAAGACGGTGAACTGGTATGGACCGCTTGGTTGGACATGGGCGTGTCGAAAGGAGAGGGGTTACGCACCGCGTCAGCATGAGTTGAAATTAGAAGATAAATGCCTAGCAAAGCATGTTGGGGGAGGGCCAAGAATAGGGGGGTTGAAAACTGGGGGATATGAGTGAAGCTGGAACGGGACGGCAAGAGCGAAAAAGCGCAAGAGGGGGAATAAGAAGACGGGAAAGCTTGAGTAGTAGCATCCAAACCCCTATCCACCCTGCTCGATGTAGCAGACAGGGCACCGTTGATTATCCTCTGCGGTGGCCAGAGCATCAGAAATTTGTTCGAAGTGAGATTCATAGTATTGCGTTGGCAGGATACTGTCAGGTTGCCCAGGCCTAGACAGGAGAACGATTAGGGTTCTCAACCAAAGCCTTTGGTTCACAAACCTGTCTGCAAGGCAGCGGGTTTGGCGCTGGGCTACAAGGAGTCCGTTTTTAGGAATAAGGTGCCACCCTCATTCCAACCCCCAACCTGGAGGACCAGGAGGCTGAGTTTGTCTGGCCTCTAACCATTGACCAATCTGGTATGAGTGACTCTGAAGGTGCAAAAGCACTACGCAGCATAGCTCAATGGATCGCTGAGGCACACAAACCATCGCAGCACGGTAACGTCCAGCCTCATTACGATGGTGACTGATGCGTATGTTGCTCGGCTCTGAGCTGCCACTGTTGTGACTAACTTGTTAGGTGTAGCTTACATGAATGGGTTAAAAGCAGTCACAACGAATGTAACTTGCCCAGGTGGGGGGTTAGGTGTCAGAGTATGTGGCACATATGCGGTGGCGCGGTTAGCAAGACTGACCTTACTGTTTGACTTGGGGACAGAGCTCAGATGAGGGACAAGATCGGTCTTGTCATATGCTAATATCAAAGCCATCTGCTAAACTGTTTCAGTCGGTTTTTCATAATTTTCATGAACACAAATATACAGTTGACAATTAGAAAGGCTCTGTATATCTGGTAAAACTGGAGCGCATCTGTAAGCCGGTTTTGTCTCTTTGATTCTAGCTGACTTGCGCCACCGCACTTAGGGTGGAAGGAAAGGGTACAGTTGGTACAGGTAAGCCCTCTCCTGACCACATGTGTACATTTCGGTTCACTACGTTTGCTGACAAGTGTAAGCATGCTCAGTGACGGCCTTGGTTGCAATCGCACGCTGCACCTGTTGCTGACGTGATGTTCAGGATGAGTGATCCTCGCGATCTTGGTTACAGTCGCACGGCTGTCGTCCGTTATCGCAGGTAGGTGTAGCATGGGAACGACACACACACACACGGTTTTGCTGCCTCAGCGAACGACACTGGCTTGTAGTGAGTGGATGTCAGCGACTAAGTATCGGCGATGGCCGGTAATCGAAAGCCACCAACTGAGTCGTAGCTCCCTTAGAAATGATCCTGGGACTGTGGAGTTTTTGGTGATGCGCGCTCCCGACACTGCATTCGACGGCCGGGTTCCTCCTTGTTTGTACTTTTAGAGTAAAAGTGACCGGATGTTGGTCTGAAACCTGGAAAGCAGTCGATCATGTCTCGAGCAATAGGCCATCCGTGGACAACGCTCAACACAGCAGCCAGAAGTTTATTGCTGGGATTCGTAGTACAAGTTGTGTAGCAGTAGGTATTGGCGGCACTAAGGAACCAAAGAAAAAGTACTTAAAACAGGCTAAAAACCGGTTAGGCAAGCAAAAAGTGCGGTGCAGGCAAGTAATTAGGTGAACAGAATCAAACTTACTCCGGCTACAGCAGCAAGAGCAGGAGCGTCGGATTCCAAGAGAAGACTCGTCAACGGAAGAACCTTCACAAGTTCTTGCTTCTGTGATTTGAGGAAGGAAAGCACTAGTGGAACACATACTCTTGGCTCAAAACACCGAGCTAAGGAGTGGAAAATTGTCATAGGGGCAAGGAAATTGCAGGTACATTGTGTAAGCATTCAGGAGTGCAAACTTTCTTTATGTGGTGGTAGTTCAGTGACGGTTGTCGTAACGTATCATTTCGCATGCGCCATCGGCTGTTTAGTTTTGCTGTGTTGCTTTCGAATAGCAGTCCCATCATGAGTGTGCATCTGATTGGCTCCTTATTGGTTTGGTCTGACCGCACGCTAACAGCACTCTGGTTGGCTTTTAGGCCTGTGTCATGCTGTAAAATGAAGCCCTTTTCCCGATGTAAAAAAACCCTGAATCTTGTTCCTGCTAACGCGTTTTCTCACTGTTGTTAATGGGTGGAGGCAACCACCGGGCCAATAATAAAAATACCGAGAGACCGATGGGGTGAATGGTAGGCCGGTTCATGATTAGTTTCTAGCTAGCGATTTGAGCATCGCATGAAAGGAATTGAAAATATGGAACAATACTTGCCACCTGTCGAACGTGTGAGGGATGTTTCGGAAGGCAGCAAAGAACACAGCCCGGCTTTTGGAAGGCCCAGCTGATGGATTACTAGAGAAGTCATGCCGCTCGGGATGTGATATATGCAAATGGGAAGGATGAAAAGGTTAATCTCGTGCATTAAACGGATAATTCTCGATGACAATATGCATGGAAAAAGTGGACTGAATCGGTAATCATCAAGATTCCCAGCTACAACACTAGGTCATGAATGTGTGAATGATTCTTTCAGTGCTGAACCGTTCTAAGGGAGCATTTTACATGTCTAGTCGACTAAAAAGAGGTGAACCCCGATCCACCAGGAAACCAAGAGGCCTAGAAGAGGAGGAAAACAGCACAGCAGGGATGCGAGAAAGGTCGGTACACACATCTCCACACAGTGAGCAATTTGCACGGGTAGGTGACAGAGAAAGGCAAAAGGTGAAGTTCGAATAACAACAAGATTAAGGAAAATGAAAGTTGCCACACAGAGCGTCAGCACTGATAGTTCCGCCTGGGATCAAGATTAGGGCCATAAAAAGCGGACCTACATTTTAAGATAGCAAGAAGGAACCACATTGCAACGGCATACACCGAATTCAGATATCTCGGGTATTCTCATCAGCTGTTAACATAGAATCCGCGGAATAATGGTGTTGCGTTTAAAAAACAACGTGCAAGGTCATTCAGTGTTAAAAGGTGAAAATTAACAAACGCTGTGTTAATGTACGCCCCTGCGAAACAACTTCTAGCCCTCCATGACTGAGCATGGAACTGTTGCACAGAGTGATCTGAGTCGTCGCAGGAACAGCTTCCAACAGAAGTCTAGAAATATACCCTTATTTATTTAATTTAAATTTGAAACAATTAAAGTACCTTAACAAGGCAAAGTGAGGCTGTTGATAAACTCAGTCTGTTTGCATAAATTGGGTTTCAGTCCCAGAATTGCTGAACCTTCAGCAAACTGAAGCGGTCGAGCACTGCTTTGTCGGTTAATTATCTTGAACGACTTGAGGGGATTTTGACACATGGATCAGTCGTAGAGGTGCTGGATAATGGAGCTTGCCGACAGCTTTGGACCTTTCACGAGCATATTAGGTGAAATGTGCTCTGAAATTCTAGTCGACAGCCTTCTTTCACTTCGCCCCACGTACTTGACATCACAGCAAGACCTTAACCGCCTATCCACATGGTCTGAAGAAGTTCTTCTCCCGGTCAACCCAGCCAAGTCTGTATTTATGAGCCTGGGTAAGGGTGCTGACGGCCGAACCTACACCCTTGACGGCCAAACGCTGTACCCCACACCGTCCGTGAAAGACCTAGGTGTACTCTCACGCTACGATTTGAAGTCCGTGGACAACACGAACAGGCTATATCGTAACGGACTGCGCAAGCTTTGGGAGCTCAAACGTAGCTTCGGCACATGATCTGAAGAGGTTGCCACTCGCCCCTTCTCTTCCATCATTAGACTAATGCTAGAGTACGGTTCGCCCGCCTACTTTCCGATTACCCGAGGCGAGGCACAAAAGATCGAACGGGTCCAACAAGTTGCTACCACGCTCATCCCGAGTTTACGCGGCTTGGGGTATGAAGATCGGTGCGAGAAACTAGGACTCTACACCTTGTCCTACCGTCGGATGCGAGTCGACCTCATTATGACCTACCGTATGCTACATCTCGGTGACTTCCCAATGCTAAGGACAATGTTGCACTTATGAGGGCCATGCAGCACACGTGGACACAGATACAAACTTGTCGTGCCGGATGTGAAATGTGTACCCCACCCACTGTGCTTCGAACGGAGAGTGGTAAACACGTGGAACAGTTTGCCAGAACATGTGATAGAGGCAACATCTGTGCAGCAGTTCAAAAGGTTGTTAGATTTATATTTTACCACTATTCGATTCAGAGGACGATTGCGCACTTACGATGACATATCACATTTGTGAGTCCTGAAATATCGTGAGTCAGATATTTTAAATGTTACATGCGAACGACAATGATATTCAAGGTTGACAACTTTTATAACGTTTTTCACCATATTTCGCAAGAGTTGTACAGAATTCATTTCTACTTGCTCTATAATACAGTATTCAGTACAATGAAAGGGGTAAACACATGAGGCGGTAACTAGAGTGTCTGGCTTGTCTAGGTTGGATTTACACAGCAGCTTCCTTACTTGATGCAATTGCCCAAGTTTGGCCGCATCATAATACTTCTTTATCATCTGGCAGAAGTGGTACCAGAATCTTCAGTCATTTCGGTCCCCTTTAAACGGTTGTGTAGTGAACACCCATTTCTTAGGGAGGCCTGCCAGCAATTTCTCCGTGCTTTCTGTGTGCGTATCGTGCCATGAATCACGCGGAGTACCCAATTTTATCTAATGCCAACAGTATCTTAAGAGCAAATCTTACGAGCTCTCACAAAGACGGTGGGAACCAATGCTCACTCGTAGTTTATAGGACAAAAACCGTTGGGGTTGAGTAACTGTCCTATCCGAGTAGGCATGCAGTACGCCGATCGAGTAAGTGTACCGTCTGAATTCCTCTTTATAAATAAATAAGCTTTTAGTATCGACAACGCAAGGCACATCTTTACAGGCATGAACAGGTTAAGATAACAAAGTGTGGTCAAAAATGTATAAAGATACCTTTTCTATAACAGTGGATGTATGTGTATGGGTTTATATATATGTATGTAATTGTGTGTGTGTAGCTCTACGCGCCCCACGCAGAGGCTGAGGTCGCAATCATGATGCTCCTACACCGTAGTTGGGCTAAATCAACATACTCTTATTCCAGGTTTTTTAACCTGGATAAATTTTATTCCACATTATTCGGTTTGTTCAGACTACATGAATAATCTTCTAGTAACCTGCACTCCATGCTTACGCTAATTGTGGTTATCTTCGTTAACTTCTGAACACTTGGCACTTATCGCGGATTCTTTGCTAACCAACTTACTTCATATGCTAATTTAGCGAAGAGTTACGTCTGCATAACCGTATGCTTCAATATGTATATTTCATTTGATAATGTCATTTCAAGTGATTGGCTGTTGTTTGATATCCACGGCGTGGCTGCGCATGGTGTGCATGTTGACAAGGTGCCTACCTGTCTATTACCCACTACCTCGTCCATACTGGCTCTAGGAGACAGTTGGTCGTTGCTGGGGCGGACGGGGTGCACGGTCCTTGTGACCGTGCTAGGCTCGACGAGCGGTTCTATGCACTCAGTGTGGAGCGGATTGCGGACCAGCCACCGCGTCGTGTGCACGTGATTCCCCAACTACAGCGTGCTTGTGTTTGCCTGTGAAGGAGTGTGGGCCGGCTCCGTTGATGTAACGTGGATCCAACCCACATGCCTCCCGGTCTTATTCCTTCGGGTTTACACTGGATATGGGGTGTGTGGATGGAGCTGTGGGTGGTGCAGCGCAAGTCAACCATGGTCCTTCTGTAGGCGCAGGCGTCCTGTGGATGGCCACAGTGACAGGCAAATCCGAAACCGGATGCCGCCATGTATCCGTGTAGCTTGTGCTTGTAGGTGTGCTGCTGCATATTTGACTGTTTGATCTCGTCAGAAATGTGAGAATAAACGATTGATGTCCGTGTGTTGGGTAGCATTATCCAGAAACAAAAAAATTGGAAGGTATTCTCTGTTTCACTTTCCATTGTGATTTGGATTGCAGGACGACATGTGTGTAGAACATCAAGTAGGTGCTTTGCCTGCCTAGCGGTATCAACCACAACAAAGGTGTCATCAAGGTATCTACAATACGAACGCACAGTTGTATCCTGTCACGTAATGCAGTGCCCTCCAAGTAACCCATGACGCTGTCTGTCAGGATTGGAACAAGTGGGCTGCCCATGACCACACCATCAAGGTGACGATAGACTGTTCCACGAGTGGCGTTGGCCGGACGAAACACTTGGTAAGGTGACAAGTGCGTCTGACACTGTGTCCTAAGCCTACTGGAACGCACACAGACCAGGTAATAGGGAAGAAAAAAGTTGGCCGTATATAAGTGTAAACAGAGGATTGGAGTCAACGTCAGGTTGCCCAACGTGGGAGCGACACGGATTGCCTTGATTGTGCCGCGGAAGCATAAAGAGACGAGGCAGTGCAAGCGGTCAGCCCATGTACGAAAACGGGTGCATAAGGGAAGAGAGACTGGTGTAAGTCACGTGTAGTAAATCGTTAAGGATAGGCTGGCCATCACCAGCTGGTATCAGAAGTGCCAAAAAGAGGGTTCGCCCAAGCTGGAATGCCACGAGGTAACCATGAAGAAAAGCCAAATCTTGATGAGGACTATCAGTCTTATCCACATAACTGTACCCATACGGTTCTCCTCACTTGAATGAATTGCAGAGGAGCAAGCTGTTCTTGATATCTTTAAGTAAGTAGAGTTCACACTAGACAGCCCCTTCGCCAACTATTGCAAGAGAGTACCA